GTTATCATCTGATTCACTTTCGCTTTCACTTTCATCACACAAAACAAGGTCATTGTCACTGTCACTCTCATCACTGTCCTCACCAACACTGACGCTTGAAGGAAATGTAGATTCCTTTGAAGTCTCATAATAGTGTACTGTGATTCGCTTGATTTTGTCGATTTTCTTTCCGTTCTTGCTAAGTTTATTATGCTCAATGTATTTGTCCAACTCGGGGAGTTTCAGAGTGTCAAGCTCCCCCTTCTCTAGAAGTGTTTTCCGGTCATAGCAATGTACATCTTTTAAGGCTCGAACTTGCTTTTCTTTCCTTCGCTCTTGCTTACAGATCTCATGGACACTTTGCAGTGTCAACTTAACGTAAACAATCTTGCTAGGTTGAAGAGAAGTGCCGTTGAACATTTTCCCCCCCACGCTTCAGTGAACATTGGTATTCCGGATTCTTCTTATCTCAACGAGCCCTACAAACTTCACCTCCCAGGGATTGATCAGTTGTGCGAGTTCATCCTGCAGCTAGGCCAAGTTTGCCTTCTGTATAAACTCGACCTTCAACGTGCCTATCGTCAAATACCCATCGATCCCAAAGACTATCATCTACTGGGATTTCCTTTCAACAATCTCCTCTACTTTGATACTCGTTGTCCATTTGGTCTGAAGACCTCTGCTCTGATCTGTCAACGCACTACTAAGGCTGTCATGCATTGTTTCACGCAATTAGGCTTCTTGGCGGACGTTTACCTCAATGACTTTTATGGAGCCGACTTGCCCGCGAGAGCATCTACCACGTTCACATCATTAAAACAGCTGCTACAAGAACTCGGTCTTCAAACTTCACCCGATAAGGATTCTCCGCCATCCACTAAACTGGTTTGCCTCGGCATTAACGTCGATTCGGAGGAGATGTCTCTCTCTATTCCTCCCTTTCGCGTGCAGGAACTCTTGCAGGAACTGTCTCTCTGGTCCCAGCATTCGCGTTACACAAAGAAGCAGTGGCAGTCATTACTGGGAAAACTTTAATTCGTCACTGCTTGCATCAAACCGGGGCAAATTTTCATGCCACGTTTACTGAATAATTTACGTTCATTCTCAAAGTCTTGTTCATCTTGCCCCATTTCTGATGACATGCACGCCGATATTTCTTTGTGGTCTACTTTCTTGCCCTTTTTCAACAGAGTTTCTCTCATCAAGGCTAGTTCCTGCGAGTTCTCCGATCTTCACTTTGCCACGGACGCCTCATTGACCGGCGTTGCCGCCATTTGTTTAGACGAGCGCTTCCATTTTCAGTTCTCCCCGGATATCCTAACAAGCGCTTCTCACATCTTGTCTCTCGAACTCTATACCATAGTGGTCGCCGTGCAGTTATGGGCCCCCAAGCTTCGCCATCGAAAATTCATCGTGTCCTGCCATAATCAAGCCGCTGTCACTGTTATCAATTCTGGCTCCACAAAGGATTATTTCATGCAGCGCTGCTTACGGCAACTGTGGTTTTCTGCTGCTATCTTTGACTTCGAGCTCCAGGCTCGTCACATCCCAGGAGATCACAATGTTTTAGCCAACGCTTTGAGTCGTTGGGACTCGGATCCTTCCCTTCATAACACTTTTCAGATGTCCGCTTGCAGTTTAGGCAGAGTTTACACCTTTCAGCAAGTGCCACCAGACTGTCTCCCGTTTCAAATTCAGTGACATTTTTTTTGTTTTTCGTTTTTGATATCGCCTTAATGCTCGTATACATCTTATTATTACCTTCATAGTCAGCTTAGTTACCTCGTTTTTTTTTCCTTTCTTTTCTGTTCTAGGTAGTTTACAAGGCCTCCAGTGGCTAGACAATTTCAGTGACCGACTTATTCGTTTGGCCCATGCTGCATCTACGCATAGCAACATATTGTCATTGTGCATCATGAATACCTCAACTCTTTGTTCCATGTTTTACAGCACACATTTGTATAATACTCCAGTCATATGGAACAGGCAATCTGAATAAACATGTGTATCCATTCATTCATCCATACATGCATGCATGCATATAAATGTTGTAGTTTTTTATTTTATCTCAGTTATTTTTAGTTTTCCTTTGTTTTTATGGATGGTAATGAGTGGAAAGGTAAAAATTAACTACAACAAAAACAAAGACCCAGCAACACTATCATTGACAGCTTATATAACTTACTTTTAGTACATACCACAACTGTGTGTTCCTGGGTACCCGAATGGCTGCCACCCATCCCAATGTCCAATCAGGGCAATATTTCGGGGGTCTCCTTTGGTGTAGACAGGGGCGTGCATCCATCTGGTTCTACATTCGCCGCATGTGATGATATACTTCCTGTTCACTTCTGAAGATGCTAGGACTTCATCAATACTAATTATATTTCCACACTGCTGGAATTTAACTGGAAGCATCCACTCCGAGTCTGGATTCCAAAACCATTTAAGTTCGTTGAAACTTGAACCATCCCACACCTCCTTGAGAGTAAAGTTGGGAGCTTGACCTTGGAGCCAGTGTCCCTTTTCTTCCCAGTGGCCCATCATTTTCTTGCACATCTCTTCACTGGCACACCAAAGCTGGATTTTGACACCAATACCTAAATAGTAGTATTTAATACTTCCCTTTTTCTCGCAGTGCCTACAGAGTGAATCAGGGGTTTCCATTACATCCCAATGACAATAATGGCTTCCATCGAGACATATATACAGCTCTCTTGGATCCTTGTATCCACAAGTCTTTAAGAGTTTTTGAGTTTCCCACCAGTTACTTGGCCACAGTTCCTTCAGTTCAGTATNAGTCTGGATTCCAAAACCATTTAAGTTCGTTGAAACTTGAACCATCCCACACCTCCTTGAGAGTAAAGTTGGGAGCTTGACCTTGGAGCCAGTGTCCCTTTTCTTCCCAGTGGCCCATCATTTTCTTGCACATCTCTTCACTGGCACACCAAAGCTGGATTTTGACACCAATACCTAAATAGTAGTATTTAATACTTCCCTTTTTCTCGCAGTGCCTACAGAGTGAATCAGGGGTTTCCATTACATCCCAATGACAATAATGGCTTCCATCGAGACATATATACAGCTCTCTTGGATCCTTGTATCCACAAGTCTTTAAGAGTTTTTGAGTTTCCCACCAGTTACTTGGCCACAGTTCCTTCAGTTCAGTATCATTTCTACAAAACAATTCTTTTGAAAATACAAGTACATCCTCAAAATCTGCAACTGATCCTTGCATTTGATCAACAAGGTTCAAAGCCTTTAGAATCGCACATGTAATCTCCATTTCTACAGTGTTGACGTTACTAGTACTAGTGTGAGTGTCACCCTCAGTGCTAGAATTTGCAAAAGATGGAACATCTGAGGCACTTGAGGTTGCTAAGCCAGCATTAGCATTGCAATCCTTCATCACCTGTAAGTCACCCTCTTTGTCAACAGCATCAGTTCCAGTGAAACTGGGACTGGGTGGCTCGATGCCTTCTTCACTACAATAAAGAGGATTGAACATTGTATTAACATAAGAAAAATTAATGGAAGCTTATATGTATAAATAGTAAGCTCTGTTAAAACATAGTCGACTAACTATGGTTAAATGGACAAAAAATCAGATAAAATTGTTCTGTGTGAGATCAACTAGTGCAGAGTTAAGTTTATTAATAATAGTCATTCCTACCTCATTAAGCTTTGTAAGGCCTCGGTATCTTTCCAATGAGAGTATTCTACAGAAGTTGACACAGCAGCATACTCACATTGTGTGGTTCCAGAAAATATCCATACCCCCCATGGAAGGGATCGGATTTTCCAGGGGGGAGGGGGGTGACCATAGGGAAATATTTCCAGAGGGTTCTTGTGGCGCATAAGAGAGTAACAAAGAAAAAACACAAAAATTTACCATGAGAATTTATTTGCAAAGATATAAAATACGAGCGATGAATGACCTGCTTGAAACTTGTTTAAAAACATCAATTTTATGTTCAGTCAACCACTTTTATCCTTCAAAGCACGAGTGATTAATGACCTACTTGAAACTCATTTAAAAACATCAATTTTATGTTTAGTTAACCTCTTATATCCTTCAAAGCACTGATTAACTTTTTTTTGTCGTCAATGGCCTTCCGCAAAGAGTCTTCCGACTTTCTCAATTCAGATAACGCACCTTCCAAATCTTTTTCAAGGGTATCAATTTTGACTGTTGCTTTGCCATGCTCTGTCTTGTTGTTTGCTTGGAATAATTCATATCGAGCACTCGAGAGTTTTTCTTGGAACTGCTTGACAGAATTATGAGCAGCTTCCATGCACTTAGTATTTCTTTCAATAGTTTTCTTTGAATCCGCAAACTTTTTTACCAAATGTTCTGGACATCCTGGGCCCACTTTTTGTCCTCCCTTTTGATGTATTTGGCTTTCTCTATCGTCCACGCTACATTTATAGCACCTTGGATTTCCCCTGGTAAAAACTGTTTAAGAGCTTGACTACTGCAAATCTCTTCTGCTTTATTATTCCAGAAGACTCGGTACAATTTCACCATTTAACTGGCGTTCTGGATTTCTTGTTCGCTGTAAATCTTGACTTTTCTGGCTCTGGCAGCAGAATAAAGCTGTGGAGCTGTTTCTGAATTCGTGTTTCGCGAAGTACTTGCAAACTCTGTGATTGTCGACCAACGCGAAGCCTTTGCAATTTTTGACTGTGGTTCACCATCGATAGATTCCGGAGATTCGGCAAACTCGTTTTCCTGTTTTTCTTTTCTGTCTTTTTCCTCCAGCTCTGGCTCTGGAAGCTCAACCTTTTTTTTCAAGAAACTAAGAACAAGATCGGTTCAGTGTTGCCCAGTAGGCACTGCGATAGTTTAATCACAGATTCCTGTTTGGCTCCGACAACAACTCTTTCACTTCGAATTAAACGTGTAAACTTGTAAGGGAAGTCCAGAACGTCGTGCACTTGTTCTATTATTATGTCACGTCAGAACGTTTCGAGTGTGACATCTCTCTCTTCAGAATTGAAAAAAACTGAACAAGAAGTAGTGTTATCAACATAAATCAAAAGGTCAGTCATGGTAGAGTTGTTCCGTGAAAATGAAAATCTTTCCACTTCGCTGCGCTGTCAAATAGGCGTTCCCACATCATATCAGATTGTTTGACATGAATTCAATGACAGTGATTGTCAAAAATATGCATGGCCTTGACATGGGGTCTTGACCTTCAAAAACCGAAAATCGCGGGGACTAGACTGTGAGCCTTTTTTCTCAATATATACATCGCAGTTAAAATACGATAACCGAAAAAGTGCATTTACATTTACATTACATTTACATTAATGTTTTGCATGCATTTTCGACCTTTTGCCGTGCTGTCGTCGCTTTGGCGCACTTCACATGCAACTTGTCAAATTTGACAGCCTCTGAAACTTACATGCGTTTAGTACCAGAGCATTACGTGCCTACACAAAGAACAGCTGTGTTATACATGCTAAAAATAAAACATATTTAATATGTCTTTTTTCAAAGCAGAGAGACGTTCGACTGAGAACAATGATGTCATGTCAATGAATTGTTTATGTACCAAAAGCGACAACTGGGAAAAAAAATATTTAGATGAAATTGCTGTGAATTTGGCGGGGTTTCCAACAAACAACAAACTGCAAAAATTAGTCCCAGTAAAATAAATTTTGCACGAAAATTTACTCCTCCTATTTAACAATTGAAAAACGCAAACAACAACTGTTTTCACTGCACTGTACAGCCGTGGAGACTTTTGAAGGCATTGTATAGATTTCGTAAAAGGCGGAAGTAGCCCATCTTTTACGTCAAAACTTTGAACACGAAGAATTATACTTGTCATTAATCAAGAGCAATCAAGACCATTACACGCAGTTGCGCTCCCAAGACCGACAGGTGAATAGTACCTTCAAGTGTTTTAGCAGTAGCGGAATGGATATCCGACCTTTTAACAAGACAATGAATAAGGATCTCTTCAGGCAAAATCTTATTTTATTATGCAATAACCGCAGCAATTTTCGTCAATATTGCATCACAGCCGAACAGTTGGAACCTAATATCGGGAATCTGACTTCATGGAATATCCAGGAGACGAATTTCTCGACGTGTTTCATACCATGGCAAGTTGATGAAACTGCTCGACGAATTATCCCTGATTTATTTACATCACTGGCCTACGTTCCGGTTCGTACAACTGGCGATGGTAATTTTCTTTTCCACGCCGCCAGTTTAGCGATGTGGCATAGTGAACAACAGGCTACCAAGCTCAGGCTTCGCACGTGCATTGAACTTGCGCTTAACCGAGACTTTTACAAACAGCATCGAGTCGTTAATCAAGCACACATTCCTTACCATTGAAGAAAACATGGGGATGGTACTATGTCCATACTAACGTTATTTGACATAGCCTGCTTCACAGCTGAATGTATCAGATGCAAGGCTTTGAAGCTGCATTCGATAACGATATAATGAGGACCTCCATCAATTACTCGTACAGTGGGACTTTACAGATAATGGGACTCACAAGCGTGCTCGGTGTTCCCCTAGAAACCGTCTATCCTGAACAGGGGCATAAACTTTTACCTATCTATCAGAACACGTTTCATCCCAGAAAGGCACTTGGCAAAGGCGTAGTTCAAATAAAGTAGAGCAACATGAATGGATGGCCCGACAAGGGAAAAGAATTTGTAGTAAATCATTTTGTCCCAATATTTCAGCAGCATCACCCAACTTTACCTTTGAACGATCAATTTAAAGCCGAAATGGATGGAGAATGGCACGAAGTAAAATCAAGGAAACTACAGTCAAAGACACAAGAAAAGTGGAAGTGCAATGGTGGAAAACAGAGTTCTACCAAATTGTTCCAAGGAAAGGAAGCGGAAAGAGAAGTACAAGATGAGGTTATCAAAAGCGAGAAAAAAAAAGAAAACAGGTTACAGAGTAACACAGAAAGTCTGGAGCTCCGAAGTAGTAAAAAACAGGGAGGCCATGGAAATGTTATGGCTGCTGAAAATGAAAAGAAAAAGAATACTGAGAATATTAAACCTGAAACAGATCAGGATACTACACCCACATCGACGACCTGATTTGGAAACCAAACAGTAAACAAGAGCTATGAACTGAAACCCGAAAACAGCGGAGCCAGTAAGCAGATCAAAAGGAAACGCAGTGAAAGAAAACAAAGCAGCAGTCCCCCTGAGAAAATTCAAAAGGTACAACATGTACAGCGGCCAGAAAACAATAAAAACAGGGCAACTAAACAGGAAAAGTACAAAGTTAGAAACCAAAAAGAACGAGAAAACAAGGCCACGGTTAAGAGGGACAAGAAAAGTCCTTGGAAGGAACGAAGTGAAGAGAAACACAAAGCTGTTTGTGAACATAAAGCACCTAATGAATATAAATCACAAGAAACTAGCTACAAATAAAGGCTATGCAGCCATTCACTAGAGCAATTGAGGCGGCAGTATAGCTTCTTTTCTTGTTCAGCAAAACCAGCTTGTGGCTTCAAACAACTTTATAACAAGCAACCGAGGTAATAGTTTTTCTCCGTTGTTCTTACTTTTGTAACTGCACCGAAAATCCAGATTCACAGTAATTTCGACGCCCGTCACTTAAAAATTCTTTTCCTTCACATTATTTGCCAGGTTTTTTTAGCTGTCCTGCTGTGTAAAATCCTAGAATCCCGATGAGTTTTTAAAAAATTAATCTTCATCGCTGCAATGTTTTGATTTTTCATTCATGCAGTCCAGGCGAGTCCGTCCGCGCGTTGACAGTTTTGATAGACGTGTGACATGTGAACAGCGGAAGTCCCTTGTATTTTCTGGCTTGTTCTAGTAGGGGAGATTCAACAAGTTTTTGTGGGCGTTTTTAATAAAACAATTATTTCACTCGCGCTTGTTGGATACGATGATTATAGCCAACTTGGCGCTACGCGCCTCGTTGGCTATCTATCATCTCATATCCAGCGTGCCCTCGTGGGATAACTGTTAAATAGACCATAGAAATGACGCCAAAATGTTCAAAACTTTACAGTGAAACAACTCGCCTGCGGCTCGTGGTTCCACTTGAGTTTTGAACATGTTGACGTCATTTCTATGGTCTATAAGAGTAAAGACCATGGAAAATTGTTGTCTATTTGTTAAATAACCACAAGTCATATCAAGGTAAATATCTACCACTAGCCACCTCCACTTCAACGAATACTTGTTAATTATAGGCAGGATGGATGTCTGTATTGCTTTGAGACAAATTTAAATTTCTTTATTTTGTTACTTCGTTGTTGAAAAATGCTGTTTTTGTTTTCTCACAGTTCCTGTTATAGGCACAGTATTCAACAACACTTTCAGAACTTGGTTATGATCATTATCCTGAATTAATAGTTTTTTTCTTTCAGGTCTCAAAATGATAGTGGCAACAACCATACTATGTGTAATGTTCAACGCCATTAAGATAACTGATGTGTCACGAAGCCAATTGCAGTCCTCTGGAAGGAACTTGGGCTAAAAAACCTTAAC